ATGTCTATATGTATACGAGGCCGATGGAGTTTGGTGAATGGAACGTAAAATTCCCGAAATTCGTAACCGAGATGGAATGACTGGGCTTTACAGGAAGGATTTTCACAGATTAAGCAATACAAAGTGTGCATCCACCTCTACGATTGAGCGGTTTCTCTTTCGGTTTCTTTTTGAGCTCATGTCCACGCGTTCCTTGGTAGAGAGTTTCAGTGAAGAAGGACCCAGGATCTGAACGCAGCAAGGTTTTGTTAATCTTAAATACTTCATTGAGGTCTCCGCACAACCTCCTTTTTTCTAGCGAAAAAAGACCGAGCGCGTACAAACTTTCTTTGTATGTTTTACCCCGCAAACCCTCAACCATCAGTGTTGCTAGTCTCTGGACCCTCTCCAGGCAGGCTGCGTTCTTTTTGTAGAAGGGCGACCAAGCCTGAACACAGTATTCTAAGTGAGGCCTTGCGATGCCTTTGTAAATGGGTATGAATACATCTGCTTTCCTACACGAAATTGCTGACCTTGGTCGAAACAGTTGTCGTCTTGCCGTGTGTGCTGCAGCTTCACATTGGGTAATCCAACTGTAATCTGCAGTTACGATCATCTCTAGATCCCTGGCACTGGTCATAGTGCTTACTTCGAATTGACCCCAATCACCCAGTGCCTTCAATGGTTCCTTGGTTCTTGAGAGCAACTGACTCTGCTGCATTTAGTGGCAGATCCCATGTGTGGGACCACTTAACCACCTTTGCAGTATCATCTTCTAAGTCTGATCTTTCACTAGATTCAACCACCTTTACATCATCAGCGAAGATGAAGCAAGGTGAGCTGGTAATTTCTGCTAGATCATTTATGAACAGCAGAAAAAGAAGCGGGCCTAACACCCACCCTTGTGGCACACCACTAATGACGTGTAGGTTTTATGACGTTTGTTCTCCTACCCTGACGCAGAATGTCCTATTGGTCAAGAATGCTGCCATCCATTTATATACTGCTCCTGTGATTCAGAAAAATCTTAGCTTGTGTAGAAGAAATCTATAACTTACGGAATTGAAAGCCTTGCTGAAATCTAGGTAACATACTTCCACTGTGTAGCCTTCGTCTACTCTCTCTCTGACTTCGTCTAGGTAGCATACGAGGTTAGTCAGGCATGACCTGTTCTTCAAAATGCCATGTTGGGCCATGATAAGTAATGCATACTCTAAAAGGTGGGTATAGACATGGATCCTGATTGGCTTTTCCATGTACCCGCATAGTATACTAGTTAGGCTAACAGGTCTGTTGTGTTGTGGTTTGGATCTACTACCACCTTTGTGTACCGCCACCACAACGGCAGTCGCCCGGAAGCACACCCTCCTCCAGTGATTTTTGAAACAGCACCCTTAAGGGTCTGCTAAGATTTGAGCCAGTGGCTTCACAATGGAAGGATATATGCTATTGGGATCCAGGGCCTTATTTATGTCTAAATCCCCTAACACCTCTTGCACCTCCACCGCAGATATCTCTTATGCTCAGTGGAAGAGAGGTCGGGGGGGGGGTTAGGTTCTAATGTCCTGTTATCTAACCTATGAACACTAGCGAAATAGTTGCCTGGTGCCACTGCCTTGCTGTGCTCGTCTGCCGCAATCGTGTTGTTTTCCAGAGCCAAGGCATCTATGGCATCAAGTTGCATATTGATTGAACGTACCTGATAAACCTTCTCGGTTTCTGCTTGGCGTTTTCCGCTAACTTCAGTTCATATTTTCTCTTTTCTACTCTTATGAGACTGACTGCCCTATTCCTCTGGACCGCGTAGTTTGTCCATGCCAACTGAGTGCTGACCTCGCTGTGGTACCTTCAGCTTCTGTTTCTTTTCTTCATAGCTGGAGACCACCATGGAGGCTTATAACAACATTTCCGAATTTTAAGGGGTGCGAACTCGTCTTGAAGGTCTTGTAGATTACTTTTGATTTAATGCCAGAGAGCTTCTACTGTGACCTGGTCATTTTTTGCTCCTCGTCCTAGAATTAAGGCTCGTGCCTGCAGGCTACTCGTGTCCATTTTGCTGAAGTTCCTAACTTTCCGGCTAGGCGCTTTGGATTCCCTAGAATGTAGGGTCACTTTGTCGCTAGATGATCACTCTTTCTCATAGGTGGATGAAACGAGAGGTCTCCTACGTCCCTTTGATATTTAGTAAACACCAAATCTAGGAGCGATAGATTTTGCTCAGTCCTAAATATGATGTTTTCCTTCACATTTTACAGGAGGGCTCTGAGGTGTTTCATCCCAGAAACATTTCCGCTGGTGTACCCTTGAAACAGGTCTCTGTGGTCCACTGGATGCCAGGAATATTGAAGTCCCCAGCAATGACCAGTTTCTGCTGGGATTGTGCTAGTGCATCCAGCGCCCTGATCAGTTGCTCATCTTCATCTATGGTGGCTCCCGGACTCCTGTACTTACTGGCGATGGTGGCGCTGTTTGTTCGAGAAAAGAGTGACAGAGCACTCACTTGTATATTAGGAGTGCAGACTTCTGTGTCCAATCGCCTGTGGGGAGTTTCTTTGCGAATCAGAATGTCTACTCCTCCACCTTGCAATTGTCCCAGTCGATTCTGTCTGTGGATCTCAAAGCTGTTAGCGATAGTCTGTGGTGTGTGGTCGCTTTCGCATAATCACGTTTCAGAGAGAAGAATCACTGAAGTTTTGAGTTCCTCAGATGCTATCCCTAGCTCAGCCCACTAATTCCGGATGCTGCACGCATTTGCGAATAGCATAACTAACTTTTCCGGAATTGGGCATTTTAAGCCCCCTACTCTTGCTTTGGTCTCGGATGCAGTGCCCGAGCTGGGAACCCGTTTTTTGATGGGTCAGTTTTGATCATTGTCCTGCGTCTTCTAAGTTCCGAGTCCGTTGGTTCTATCATGGACGTCCTCCGCAGTGGCGTGGACGTTTGGACAGTTTTCTGTTCATCTTCACTTGCGGACATGCTCGGCAAGCAGGTTTCTATCCTTCTTCTTCCATTATATCTTCTATAATCACCACCCCGTTTTTGTAGGGAGTGTTTGTCGCCAGCTACGTACCATAGTTACTGACCATTCCTTTGGACCCATTATAGTCGATTTTCCCATGCGGCCTTAGGTTGTTCGGAGGTATGCTGTAGTGCCCTTTTGTGCGCTGACTGACAAGGGATGCTTTTGACCATAGCACGTCCCTTGGTCCCGCTCCTCCAAACTCCACTAGTATCGGTCGGGCTGCAGTCATCCCGTTCGAATTTGGCTGCTTCCAAACACCTACTTTGTATATCCTTTTTATGTGGCATTTTTAATCTAAGCCTACCGGTCGAAGTATATCAGTCACTCGACAGCCATCCAGTTCACGCCGAGTTTTGGACTTCCTGATTATTGGTTACTCTTTACTGAGGATCAGTAACGTGTTGCACATTGACGCTCTATTTGCTCTAACAGCCTTGATCAAGACTACTTCTGCACGCAATTTGTTCAGTTCACTCTCGATGTGGTGCAGGCTGTTACTAGAAATACTCTGGGCTCCCTTGGCGATCAGCGGATTTCGGCTTAGATTTGACAATCTTAGCATTTGGTTTCATTTGACGAGATAGTGGAGCAGGTTCCCGATGTGCTTTTCTCACTACTTTGGTGTAAGTTTTGGCTGACATTTCTTCAGCTATCACTTCCTTACTTTCCACTCGTTTTGTCTCAGTCAGTCTTGGTGACATTCCGGGGACAGCACCTTGGCGTTCAATCATTTTGCAACCGTTTCACACCCATTCTAGTCCACTGCTTTTACTGTACAAAGCGTAGGTCTCCAAAAAGACCCCTGTAAACTTTTAGTGAGCCCACTCTTCACATACGTCGCACATAATACCACTTGCCACTTTTTTACCGCATGCTTCATCCGGACAAGGAACGTTGGAACGCGACATATGTAA